CTTTTTTCTTCTTTGGTCAATTTATTTTCTACATTTTCCTATGCTTTTTGTTTATTAATTATTTCAGGCTTGTCTTGGATTTATTTCGTCTTTAAAGTGCTTCGCAAAATTTTTAGCGTTAGTAAAATACGCGAAGATATTTGTATGTATTTTTGTGACATCCGTATTGGAATACAAGAGGCATTTTTATGTAAGAACACTAATTTAATTCTAGCTATTGCTAACGATTTCTAAGAATACTTTTTACACTTTCAATATTTGTTTCGCCCCAATAGCCGAAAGTGTCATATACCCGATCTTTAGAAACCGATCGGTACTAATTATCGTAGCGAATAACAAACGAAATTTCGCAACTTTTTCCTAATCATTCAGCGCAGGTATCGCTCACACCCGCTAGAGGAAAAGACACAAGAAGCGAACTGAATACCATGCGCGGCATTCCAGACCAACGCATGCGCACTAGCTTCGAAATCTCGCATATCGATACGTCCGTTCACAACATGGCGCCGAGTATCAGCCGTAGTGCGCGTCGCTGTTATAATCGCTACTCAGACGTAATTTTAACTAATAAACGCCACGCAATCAAATAAAACGCGAGTGTATACCATAATAACAGTCTCGAGTTGGCATTCGTTACCTAACATCGCATGTATTTGTCCAAACAATCGTGCGGTGATATATAAAATACCTATTCTATCCTGCTTCAAAAATTAGCAACATGCAAATGCCAACGCATATAACGCTGTTTGTCGATAAAGACGTACTAACAACCATAAGCCTAGATCTCACCCCCCCCCCCTGAACATTTCTCTAAATACAATCAGTATCTACTATTACAATACAATCTACTATTTTGAAACTTTCGCCAAGCCGACTCCATTGTCATCAGTCACGCAGCCCGTAAGGTGGAGACGCCTGGCCGAACTATATTACTATGTGCGGCTCTCGAGATCGACGCATCTGCAATAGAAATGATAGAATCAACATCGATCTCAACATGGCGCCAATTGCCATCCGTAGTACGCGTCGTTATTATATTAGTTAGTCAATATATTTACTTACCAGACATGCAAAGTGGTCGAACAAAATATGCAAGTGCACACCAAGTTACGCTCGCAAGGTATCATTCTTTACCCAGATAATATACTGTCTACCGATGAATCGTGCAGTGCTATAAAATTACCATTGCCTGCCACGTGCTTCTAATACTGACAAAATCAAAAGAGTTTCAGTGCAAGTGAAAGTGCATTCTCACGCAGTTTATCAATACCTGACCACTATCTACCGGTCGATTAACTCTTATCCGTGCTATACAATTCTCTAAGTACATGCAGTGATCACCCACTCCCTAGAGTAAAATCAATCAATCCTAATATATACATCTACAAGTTTACAGTCATCGCAGCAGAATACCCATCCACTAGGTAAACAAAACAAAAACCTGCCAAACACGAACGCTGTATAGATTGTTATCACCTGTTCGATTCGTGCTACATTTGACTGAAAAACTCATTCGAAGTTATTTAAAATATAAAATTCGAATTAACATCTAGTGTTCAACAACCTGTCTAAAGATACCGCTCACAAGCAAGCTATCGTTTCTTGAAACAAATATATAAGATTTATTTATGTTATCAATTTTGTTGTGTGTCGAAATACAGCCTGCTCAAAACATTCTATGGACCAAACAAAAAAATTGTTGACATTGATTGTCAACAAGTCCTACAAACTAAAATCTTTCATATTTCTTTTGCTTTTGATAATTAGACACAACCTCCCGCTAGCCGATGAGTCATTCTGCTATATTTGGCTTATCCTTTGTTATTATACAAATTACTGCCATTGTTCACGGCTGACCTACTAATTCGTTTAGTGACTAGACACTACGTTAGATATTTTAATCAAATAAACTCATAATTGTAGCGATAAAATACTTCCTACCAGTACAATATATAATCTAAAATTTAAACATCCTGCTTCAGGGCGACATATCCAATGAATTAACGGCGCTTGAACAATCCCTTAAAACGGGTAAATCTATAACTTTATTATCGAATTTCAACCTAATATCCAGAAATTGATTAACATAATTTCACTATGCCCAAAAAGCATCCCCTTACAAATGATATCGATATTTACGATATTTCTTTGCTATATTAATATAGTATTATTTATTATAGATCCAGACCACCGACCTCGGCCAGGGCTATCAAAATTCGCCTTCGTCATGGCCAATAACCAATATAATATTAACTACGATAGAAACTGTCATTGTTAATTTAACACTAGCTATCGCCGCTATAATATGGCCTATATACATATTAAATAAATTATAATAAATAACTTATTATTTTTAAATACACCTTGTCTTATTTATCTATACTTTCCGTTGTCTTACGATCTACGTCCACCTTGACCTATGCATTGTCACGTAAAATTCGTGATAAAAAAAGGAGGAGCTGAGCAATGGCTTAACTTGACTGTCCTTGAAATAAAGTAAAACCCGAGCGAAGACGTAAAATATTTATTGCGGGTAGCCGCAACCGCGGCTTCGACCTTTTTGCAATCCACTAGTGATAAAAAGTTCGCGTACAAGGTAAATAGCGGGCAAAAGAACGAGTAAATAGCGGGCAAGAGAACGGTATAGAGCATAGAGTGTAGAGTATAGCAGCGTCGCAGAAAAAGAAAAATCAACAGCTTGGTCGGTCATTGCGCAGCAACAGATCGAGCAACGATACAAATGATCATGGAAGTGCGTTTCTGCTTCCTGGTCTTGACAATCGCACCGTTCACTCGACCGTTGACCATAAATTGTTTCGCATTTTCTAGCGAACGGACACTTGAAAATACGTGCTTGTGGTACATTCGATAGCCAGGACAAAGGGGTCATTCGTGAGCCTGTTTTCGTCCTGCGAGACGAGAAAATTATTAGAAATTCCCTGATGCAATTGTACGCGGTTTTATGCAACTTTGATTCTACGCGTGAACGATATTTAGCACAGAGGAGAAGGGTTAACATTTGCGCACTAATAGGTTCCCACGTAGCTAAAATAAAGCAAAAGTTGCGCGAAATTAACGGATGACAATTGAGAAATTTCTTGGATGATCTACATTTATTACGGAATGGTTGGCTGCGAGAACCGATATCTAGTAACATCTAAGTTGTGTGAGAGAGTTTCACGATAAAGGTACAGATCTCTGCCGATACTCTATCTGACTATCGTAGCAAATCTGCGTACTTTTGCAAGGTTCTTCAAATTAATACAAATTTCTAACTACCGTAAAATCGAGATATTATACGTCGTAAAGCAAAGATAAGGAGAGTGGCGATGACCTCGGAAACGCGAAAAATATCTCAGAAGATAGAATTTTGATGGCGCGAGGGACAAATGTTCCTGATGGTTTTCCCAATAGCGATTCTGATTCCCCCTTGACATGTCTGCTCGGCGCCACTTCCGGCATCGTGGCAACCACCGTAAGACCTAGAACGCCCTTACAGCCTCCTTTACATCGTATATGCTCTTCTCGCTGCTGATGAAAATTCTATTTGCTAAATTAGACGTTTTCTCGCTTTTAGACAAAGTAAACCACGTTTCTCACAGATGTTCGGCAGATGGCAATGATGCGATATAGTGCAACAGAGTGAAATTTTACGTGCGTGAATCGAGCAGGATTATAATGTAACAGGAGCACAATAAAGTGGTAACTTGTAATGAAAAGGGAAGAACATACTGCCAAAGAAACTCTTTTTCTCCATTTTCTTTCTTAGAATTATATTTCACTTGCGAGTATTATAGCATGTCTGCCTTTGATACAAAAGTCATAAAAGGTTTACGTATCTGCACGTATATTTACGCTGTATGAACAACACTTGAGTATTACACGCATGCATTATCGACAAATAGATCCACGTTCGAGATAAGAGTTCCTCGTTGATTCTTTCTCATGGTATAAATAACGAGAAATTATCAGGAAGTATGTAATAACGTTACAGTAAAACTACTCGTACTTTGTTAATTTTACACGCATGTATAACAGCTATAACGATATTCTTCGTTAAATCAATAAATAAAAGCGTTCCCCAGCGTACGTACAAGACTAGATCTTGAAATATAAGAATCAACGTAAGAATAAGACTAGAAAAGTTCGAAATGAAAATAATTCGCCGAAACAGCAAAAAGAGAATGCCTGACACAAAAATAACGATACGGTAAATCAGCGTCCCGTTTTAATTTTCATCAATCCGTCGTCCAGCAAACGAGATGTGTGAAGCAGCGATGGCGACAAGATAGCAGAGATGAAATATTATCGAGTTAACGCGCGCGAAGTGGTCGCGGGAATGGCTGACGGGTGCGAGAGTGTAATGCACTTACGTCACGTGAATTTCAGACGAAACAACCGGTGGTGTAACGAAAATTTAGCGTCGTAACCGAACGTTCTAAATATAAAATGAATGGCTGTTGACCGAGAGAAAAATGCTCGACGATTTGTTCTCTTACAAGATTGAACGTCCACAGTCGACCCATTTATCAGACCCTTCTCGTGCCACGAAGAAACGAAATTCCCCAGTGCTATTTAATCGTGCGAATTATATCACGCGTATCTCGCGAATTATTACACGATAGTGATAATAAGTCAAATCTAATAAAATTTACTTCTCATCAAAAAGTCGTACCAAAACAATTATTTATTAATTGTTCTATTTATTAATTCTTAAGAAGATACATATAAATAAGAAAAAATGGTAAAATTTGATTAGTGTAATAAAAATAATATATGCCTATGATCATTCTAAAATATAAAAAGTGTAGTCTTACGTTCATTGATATATTAAGAACATATACATATTTTAATGATAGTTACAATGTAACGTCATTCCTATATTATATGCAGGGCATGACAAGTATTTTTGCTCTAAGGCACAATTTGAAATCAACAACATTCAGTTTAACAAATTATACCTTTTATTCGTTTTCCATCGTGGAATAACGCGGTGATGTCTATTTATATTTTGGAAACATTTCAGTTAAATCTGGTGTGCACTTTCTGCTATCAAAGAATTTATAGACTGCTTTCTCCGGAATGTATCGTTGCATTGCGAGTTGATTTTCACGTATGTGCGCTAAAATGAATAAAAATTCGAGTACTCTATGCATTCTAATGTTTATTAACTCATTTAGTAGAACAATACTTACATTGTGCCCAATGTGGAATTGTATGCTTTGGTCTAGATTCATCACCTGATTCATCGTCGTCAGGTTCACCATCCAAAACGTAAGTGGTTGGACCTTGCTGTTTGGAGCCATATTGTGGCTAAAATATTGAAGGAATAATAGCTTGTGCTTTTATAACAGAAGAATACTTTGATATTGTTTATAATGTTACCTGTGATGTAATCATCTGATGCTTAGTTTTCATTACTTCATCTGCAGCTTGTCGTTGAGCTCTTAATTCGGCTTCTTTTCGTCTTTCAGCTTTCTGTTCTCGACGTCTTTGTTCAGCTAATGTTCGCTGCGCTTCATCTTCTTTTTGTAAACGTTGTAAACGCTGTTGCTCTTCTTGTTTTCTTCTTTCATCGACATCCTTATTCTCTTTTGCTAATAAAATTTTTTTGGCTTTTGCAACCGACATTCGTGATAATTTATGAGCAATCGCTTTCTCTGCAATGTCTGCATTTTCCGAAGCTTCTGTTTGTGCAGCAGCTCTAGTGTTTTGTTCTCGTGTTTCTGTTCGAGTTACTCTAGTTGGTGCATCAATATCAACAACAAGTTTTGGAGTGTTCACGCCTGCCTGTTCAAATGCCTCAATTCTTTTTTTTACAGATACCTTGATGTATGGATCGAATAGAGCATTCGATTTATACGTGTTTCTTATTTCCTGGAATCTTGTAATTGCATCCTTTCCTTCGAAGATGGTTTTGTTGGAGTATTAAGTATTGCATCTTCGTTCGATGTCATAGATCTGTTCTGCCGCTTTTGTCGTTTTTTAATTTCATGTTTCTTAATATTTGCTTTAGACTTTTTTATTTCAGGGGATGACTCATCTTCTGTGAGTAATTCATCAAACTCTTTGTTTGCCATCGCTTCTTTTAGCTGCTGCATCTTCTCCTGCAAAGTTATTGACGACCGTGGTGTAAATTTAGGTTCAACATTTTTTCCTGTACTACTAGCCAAGTTTTTATTAATCACTACAGTTTCGTTTAATTTTATTGGTGATAAAGGTTCTAAAATTACGGCAGCGTTCATCATCTTCTGCGTATAAGTAGAATTGATGTCCATTGTGGAATTCATAAGAGGAGTAAATATCTCAAGTGCATCCTCGCACATTGAAAGTTCTTCAATATCATTTCCTGTTGGTGCAATTACTGTATCATCAATAATATTAGAATATTTACCCTTCGTGTCTTCACTCCGTGAAAAAGTTTTCTTTATATTACTATTTCTTGTTGTCATTGAAGACTTTAATGGTTCAATCTCTTCTGGCTGTATTGCATCTTTTTTTAAAAAAAGATGATCCTGTGAATGTATCTGTGAAATACCCGCGACCTTCCTTGAAATTGTTTTGCTTAAAACATTCTTTTCTGTTTTATTATGTTTTGTAGGGCCTTTTGTGTTTTTTTCATCTGAACTACTTCTAGCACTTTCTTCTTTGTTAGATCGGCTTCCACGTTTCCTCTAAAAATTTAGAATATATTTAACAACGTTATAATAGTAATTATATACATGTCGGAGATAAGAGGACACCGGTGCCTTCCCTCTGAAACCTCGGGAAAATCCATAAAAATATTGTAATTAAAATCTACAGTTGTAATTAAACGATTTGCTGTCATTCTACCCAATTGTATTTGTTTGAGATTTGTGAAAATGGGCTTGGGCTCAAGGCGACAATTAGTCGCCGAACGTAGCCGCGGTCAACGGGACGAACCCTCCGTCTAACAGAGGCATTGAGTAACCCTGTAGCTCTCTTTAAAAGAAAGATTTGTAGCGGTACGTGGTAGTAAACATTCCAACGGTTTCTGTCCTGTAACTCGGCACACGCAGATCCCATTCTCCGGGCAGGATGTTTACCAGATGCCGACGCCTCTCCGCAGTACGCGATCGGCTAACCCGAGGACCGCTATAAAA